TGTGAAGAAAATTCAATTTTTCTCGAACGCTGTATTGAAAGCGAGTGCCACGCTGCATGCAACGTGCATTGTTATCGCAGCTGTTGTATTTTTTTTAATGCTCTGTGGTGCGCTGGCAAAGTGGCAAGTGGCAAGAAAGCATCCACAACACGCTGCACAATGAAGGCGAGTAAAATGAAAGCCAAAGCCATCAACGGACACTTAAGACAAACAAAGCCATTGCTAATCTGTAAAACTGCAATTACTGCGAAATGTCGCTGGAAGCGGACAGCAATGCGAACGGTTGTGAGGCTGGGGCAGACCAACAAGTACAAGTGCAGCTGCGTTGTGTTTTGTTGGTTTAGCTAAAGTGGCTTTTCGTGCAGAAAACAGCCATTGCCTAACTGCTTGCAATACTTGCCACAAAAAAAAAATTAAATACAAATACTACGCACACTCCCAAACACAACTCGATTCAACAACAGTTCTGCCGACCTCTTGTGTGTTGCTTTTCCTTCTTTAAAAGCAAATAATACTTTCTGCAACTGAGTTTTTGTGCTACATAAAAGCTGCTAAAACAAAAAAGTGTTTATGCTCATAGTGCAACGCTTTCAGAACAACAAAAAGAACAACACGCTTTGCTCATACTGAAAATGTTGACTACCCTAGTTATGTAGCGTTCTTTTCATTCGACATTCGCTTTGTGGCTTTTCTACGCAATGAATTCGGAAGAACAACAAGCGAAGTAGTAGTGAAAGAGTAACAAGTGAGATTGAGCAGAGGGGTGAAGTAAAATCGAAAAAATAAAAATGTTTTTGTTTTTTTTTTAGTTAGCAGGATCTTATTAACTTCAGTAAATATTTTTTGCCATAAGAATACGTCTCAAGTTAAGTGCCGTTATTAGCCTGCCTGGAAAAATTTTGCAGTTGATTTAGCTGTGGCTTGCAACAGAAGAGTTACACATGCCGCAAGAACTTGATGAGGGAAATTGTGTATTGGAGATGCCAACAAAAACAAAGTTAACACGGTAAATCTCAAAACTCTCTCTGCATAACCTAACGAATAGCCAATAGAAAATATGATTTTACTTATTTGGTGTCGCTTTCAAATACTTGGTTTCTCTGATTTATTGATTAAATTTAATATTTCCAATTAAGAAAATTTTCGTGTAATTTTCACAACCCGTAAGAAACATATTCGAGTGGCTTAAAGCATTCAGTGAACCAGCAATACAATTTGATTGAAGACCTTTCCAAATATGGCCTACGTAGAAATTTCTCTTTTTCCCAAAAACAAAATATCCGCTCTGGAAGATGCGCCATAAGCCAATTTAAACCATAAAATACATTCCCTATATTGGTTAAAGTTCAAAGACGTATATTTCAATGCACCATAACTATACCCGTTACAAGAACATTTTGTATAATATAAAAAGGTATACAAAATGTTTAGCTTGATTTCCATCGGTTAATTTGTACGGCAGCTATATGCTATAGGTTAAAGTTACCTTATCAAATGAAAAAGTTTCCCATACAAGAACTGGATTTGGAGCGATCAGTTTCTATGGCAGATTTATACTACAGTAGTCCGATATCGACGATTTCGACAAGTGAGCAGTTTCATGTTTCTCTCGAGTGGTTAGTTCGCGTATATACAGAAGGACAGACAACAGAGTGACAGAAGAACGAAAGTGGCTGAATCGACACAGCTCATCACGATCATCATTAAAATACATTATGTTGAGAGAAAATCTCATTTCTACTATTTTCAAATGGATAATTAATATCATAACTGTCACAAGTCTTAACTTTAATTTCCATTTCAAAAATCATTAAATCTTGAGTCTCAATTTTTGCACAAAGATATTCAATACAACACTCATTTAGCTGGATTTAAGACTTTCAAATAACTTTTTTTACTTTCATCGAAGTTTTCTCATTTTATGAATATTTATTCGAGCTACGTTTTAATAGTAGTTTTGACAGTCTGTTTTCATCACAATAATAATAAATACTGCTACTTTAAAACGTGAGAAATCGCATAACTTCACGCGCGTTGAAAACAAAATAAAGAGTTTCATGAAACTGCAACTATGTTGGCGCCAATGGCCATGCTGAAAAGTATTTTGCATTTATTTTAATGCACACTTTTAGGCGTAAAAGCATGCGATTATATCACACTTCACACGATGCATGCAACATACCACGTGCCACAAGGCTGCAAGTGTTATTCATCATTAGTCAAATGTGTGCATTTGTGTGTGTGTATGTTTACATACGCGGATGCTCCTTCATGCAGGCCGTCGCTTCCGCATTAATGT